AAGTGCTCGTTTGTTACAAGGTGCTAAAATATCAAAGAGATACTCACCCGAAGCTCCGAGCCGGACAACTGTCACAGCGCTCCCTCCAGCCTGTCCCGTCCTCCTACGCAGCACACTGAAATCTTCCTCAGCGTCCTCATGTACACTGTGTATAGACGTGATTTACAGGACCTTAGACCCCCGCAGACAAGGGGGAGAGACATTCCACGGACTGGTCTAAGAAGCCGGCTCGGAGCTTTGGGCGAGTATATCTTAGTTTTTTAACCTAGACACAAACGAGAAGTTAACCCTTGCAGCGTAGAGGTAGCCCCACTGCAAGGGTTAATAACAAAAATTCCTGGAGTTCTTCCTTGAGTCAAGTTTACGGTTCTTGATGAACTGGCCGAAATTTGCTGCGTGGGTGTCGCTGTTGGCATCCTTCCCCCCTCCCCCGGCATCCCTCGATCAACAGATCATAGGTGCCAGTTAAAAAAGTCTCGGCCCAACAGAGCTAGCAGTCAATCAGCTGCTAAATCCATTGGGGTATTCCGACAGCGGCTGGCGGCTGCTGTCAAAATACAAAGGAACCAGCGGAGGATTCATCGATTAACGCTCGTAAGCGTTAATGGAGGAATCTGTTCTATTTTTTTTTTTCGTTCAGGCTGCGGGTTGAATGAAAAAAAATAGAACTGTGTGTACCCAACATTACTCTGCACACGTTCTTTGTAGTCAGAACATTGCAGGGGTGATTTCTAATAGGCTTCTATTGCTTAAAGCAGATGTAAACGCATTCACAAAAGTCTCATGCAATCTTTAACATGTTAATGTACTTTTAAAAGTCACTTTCAATCTTCTTAAATCTGCAGCAATGATCTAAATGGTACTCGGCAATCCTGCCATTAAGGTCCATGTTCGGGCACTTGTTATGGGGTGAAAGAGCTCTGTCTCAAATTGCTCCCCTGGTTGTCACCCTCATATATGCTGGACACTATTATGGAGACTAGAATTGTCCATGCCAACACTAAAGGCATAGGTATGCTACGCCATCAGAAAAGCCACCTAAGTATTGACTAGGGATGCACCGATATATCGGCCGAAAATGGCACTTTTGGCTAAATGCCATTTTCCTGCCGATACAGCGGGGCATCCCTGTGTTCTTTCCTCCCCGCTGTGTCCCAGATGACACAGATCAGCGTTTCTCAACCTTACAGCCCCAGAGGAACCCTTGATATCATTTAAGGTCTCAGGAAACCCCTAAAAGTAATTTATTAGGGGTCAATAAGAAAAATGTCTCTTCCACTGGTGGTCAGAGAACAATGCCCCCCATATAGTGGTGGTCAGAATGCCACCTTTACAGACAGCTAAACAGATCATTTGTTGTGCTGCAGCTGGCTCTGCCAAGTGGTGTTAACAGTGGAGCTTTGCAGACACCATGAAATTGGTAGTCAATCAGGCAAAGCTTAAGGAACCCCCAAGTAACCGCTGGAGGAACCCTAGGAATCCATAGAACTCTGGTTGAGAATTGCTGTCATAGATGTTGTCTGTCATGCCTAACAGAACAACCCTGGTACCGGAGCCAAATGGGGGCATATGAAAACAGAAACTCCCCTGGCATCCAATACACTGCTTGAGTGCTTGAAAACTCAAAAGCAATTAATTTATGGTGCCTGTGAGGCAGAAAAATGAGACATTATTATTCTGCTACGCTACAACAGCTACGAATATCATAGAAGCCTGATCGCAACATATGAAGGTCACATACTCCAGATAACAAATGAAGCAGAACTCCCACTGATTTCCACATGGGCTCCGCTACATGTAAGCATCATTGGGAGATTTCCTAATAGTCTTCCAAGCTTGCACACAAATATAACATCTAACAGAATTTCTCCAGCAAAAAGACTAATTATACCAAAAAAAACAAAAAAAAACAATATGGCCAGGGTGCTGATACATAGCAACAGGACGCCCACGCAAACTTTCCAATTGTTTGCGTGTTTCAGCAAAGCTCTCAAACTGTCCCAAAATGCCTTGGGTGGTAACCGAAACTTAATATCAGGGAATTCACATAGGAAAAAGAAGTGCAACACAGATAATGACTTGAAGGACAAGCCCTACAGAGCAAGCTGGACCACACCCCAACAGATGCTGGCCTGCATGTTTTTAAATAGAAGATACAACCCAGAGAATCTATAGGACATAACCATTTCAATAAAGTGCCCATTTCTTCTCACAGAGTGCAGTATATTATTCCAAATACGAGGATTATATGTGCGCATCTGACACACGTAACAAGACATGACATAGTCATTTGCTATGTAAATGGCTCAAGATTCAACAGCCTTTCTCAACTTTGAAACCCCGAAAATATTTCTCAGGTCTTGGGGAACCCTTACTAAAATCAATTCATCAGGATTAATCAGCAGAGTGCGTCTTACACTGGAAGAATGCCATCCTTACCGCGGTGGTCAGATTGCCACCCTTACTGCGGTGGTCAGATTGCCACCCTTACCGCGGTGGTCAGATTGCCACCCTTACCGCGGTGGTCAGATTGCCACCCTTACTGCGGTGGTCAGATTGCCACCCTTACCGCGGTGGTCAGATTGCCACCCTTACCGCGGTGCTCAGATTGCCACCCTTACCGCGGTGGTCAGATTGCCACCCTTACCGCGGTGGTCAGATTGCCACTCTTACCGCTGTGCTCAGAATGCCACCCTTACCGCGGTGCTCAGAATGCCACCTTTACCGCGGTGCTCAGAATGCCACCCTCACCGCGGTGCTAAGAATGCCACCCTCACCGCGGTGCTCAGAATGCCACCCTTACCGCGGTGCTCAGAATGCCACCTTTACCGCGGTGCTCAGAATGCCACCCTCACCGCGGTGCTAAGAATGCCACCCTCACCGCGGTGCTCAGAATGCCACCCTTACCGCGGTGCTCAGAATGCCACCCTTAGGCCCCTTTCACATGAGCGCTCTCCGTTCTGTCTCAGCATGGGATCCTAGACTGATCCCATGCTGGGTCATATGAGAACAGAAACAGATGTTACACATGTGACATCCATGTCCGCTCCTTTTTTTTCTTCTCTATTGTGATGGAGGAAAAGCGCACCCATGGAATCCTTGTGTGGCCGGATGTAAATGGACATGCATTAGCCTATATCCGGTCATGTCAGTATAAGCGGACCTGGACGCAAACCTATTGCATTGAGTCTGACTAACCTGACTGGACTCAAATGTAAACGGACGCACTTCCGCTTACATCTGAGCAGGCCATGGAGATTCATTGTAGTCCATTTTCTATCCGTCTAGTCACGGGTCAAAAATGGACTACCTGAACACCAAGGTGAAAGGGGCCCTACAGACAGCTAAGTACAGAATGTTGTCATGCTGCTGATCTTGCCAGGTAGTGTTGCCCCTGAAACTAGGCAGGCACCATTAGATGAGAGGTTGATCAGCCACAGCTTATGGAATACATGGTAATCTCTGGACTAGTGATTGTTTGGGGCTTGGTGCAAACCCAGTTCACCTGCATTCGCCCACCCCTGCTCAAAACTTTGACGGACACCCCCCTTCCGAGCCAGTTAGTTGTGGCAGGGGCATTCCCCACCTCACAGCTATATGTCACAAAGTGACGCGGAATGCTGGGATTGGGCCAGGAGGAGGGAGTATCAGTCATAGTTTTGAATGGACCTGAGAAAATAAAGACGAACTGGGCTCACGCCATGCCCAGGTTCATCTCTACTCTGTAGGAACCCTGGTTGAGACTGACTGAACTATAAACACAGAACCTCACTATACACCTCAAAAACATTTTATATACATAAAACTGAAAAAGCTGGTTTGCTTAGAAAGCTGGAGGTCAGAATGCCACCCTAAGGGTTCGTTCACATCATGTGCGAATGTGTGTTTTACGAATCCTGGGTCAAGAACCTACGAATTCCTGCAAATATGACATTTAGAAGCGGCCACTGTCACCAGTTCAAGTCAATGATCGGATGACAGTGGCCGCATTTAAAAGCGGTACTCCGAATATAATCATATGTGACGCGATTACATGTGGTTAGGAATAGATCGCTGTCACTGGACGCAGATTATTGACAGCGATCTACATGTGAACTGCCGCTATCAAATGCTGAAGCTGCCACACGATCATTAACTTCAACGGGTGACAGCGGACGTTTCCAAGCGGCATATCTGGGATTCTTGCTGCAGGAATTCGTAGGTTCCTGACGCAGGATTCCCAAAATGCATGTTCACACAATAGCATGTATGTAGCCTTCCAGCGGGAGTCAGAACACTACACTCACACGCAGTTAAAGAGATAGCTGGCGTCATGCTGCTAGTTTTGCAAAACCAAGTGACATTGACCCTTGAACTATGTCGGCAAAAGTCAAATCAACCACACATCAAGAAGGAATCCTTAAACCTCTGGAGGAACCCTGGTTGAGAACGGCTGTACTATATACAGAGAACATCACTGTGCACTTCAAAAGCTGTTGTTTATTTACATAAAACGGAACAAGCTGGTTGGCTTAGAAAACTTAGGCCAGCTGTCCATAGCAACCAGATGCTAGTTGCTACGGTCCACTGCACCAGGTTCTGTGACTAGATGTGTCTGTTGAATGCCGAGCTGTCACATCATACACGTACAGAAGAAATACCTTTGCCTAGCAGTGGTCATTTCTTAGCAACAGATCAGTCAATAGCTCATACAAGTAGCAAACAGATGATCAGCCTATGTCTACATTATGTGTGTATGGAGACCCGTCCACACCTATACATGCTGATCATGTATTGGAGATCACAATGTAAGCAGTCCAAGCCAGGAAGAAGGCAGCACAGCCCCTAGTCTTCCCATCATATGGAGGATAACCCTGTCCCTGCAGTGTGTCCCCCATGACCAGAGCATAGAGAGAGTCCAGGGCATGAATGCTATATATAGCACACAGGAAGCGGGCATTGTTCTTTGTGATCCAAGACGTAGAGAAGCACAGACAGTACAGCGTTCAGCTCACACTCACCTCTGTTCTCCAGCCTGCTCCTCGTCCAGTCTATGCGGTGTCCACACACACGATCCTTCCTCCTTTCCTGTCTCCACACCCCGACCGGGGCCCTGATCCCCCCACCGATCTGCCTCCTTTCTCTCCTCCCTTCCTCCTATTTCCACTTCCTCCTCTGGCTGGCGCGTGTGATTCGTTATGGAGGGGATGGATGTGATGCGGGGGCCAAGGACACGGTCTGGAGAATGGTGTCCTCTGGGGCCCAGAGCAGCCCCAGCAGCTGTGTGTAGTGAGTCCTGGAGGTGGAGGAGGAGGAGGAGGGTTGCAGTGACCGATGATGATGATGATGATGCTTGCAGTGTGAGCTCAGAACCGGTGACCCGCCTGCTTGCTGAGCGATCTGCAGACGATGATGATGCCGAGGAGGACCTGGAAAGACCTGTTTGATTTTACTAATCAATAACACTTTGCCTTTATAACTTCACTTCTTGTCAGAGCCATGACAGCCTGATATCCAGTGCAGGAGGAGGAAGATCTGAGCATGACTGATCCTCCTTTATCTAAGATCATCACGTTACAATCTGACCATACAATCAACTTTAGATTTACCAAAACGATGTAATATGAGGACCTCCCTAATCTATCAAATTGATTTGTATCCAATCAGGCAGCCATTTGCATTACATTGTTATTGGTAGATCTAAAAGTGACCATACACTATGCAATCTGATTGTATAATCTCCTGTATGTCTACCATCCATATCTATTACAAGGGTTTACCTGATTTGATGCTAATGCAATGAATTGTGTAGGCTTGTCCTCGTATAGTTTTGGTAAGTCTAAGGGGCCCGTTCACACCAGATACAGTGCGTTCCGGTCCGATTCTGGTCAGAACGCACTGCCTCGCATTGCAGCCGCCTCACTTTTTTGTGGGGCAGGAGGGGGCATGGCGGGCCATTATAGTGAATGCCATAGCCATGGCCTCCGGCTGCACGGGATCACGAGGCACATTATTCCTGTGGTCCGGTCCGATCAAAATGCTGCAAGTACTATTTAATCGCACCGGACCGCAGGCATAATGTGCCTTGCGGCCGGAGGGCGTGGCTACGGTGCCATTCACTATAATGGCTGGCCACGTCCCCTCCTGCCCCACAAAACAGTGAGCCGGCCGCAGTGCGTTCGGGCCGGAACGTACTGCATTTGGTGTCACTGGGCCCTAAAGGAGATTGTATAGATTTTGTACAATCTGTATAGTGTATGGCCAGTTTAAAGCTCACATCTGATTGTATAATCTCCTTTAACCACTTGAAGTCCAGGGTGTTAAACCCCCTTCCCATCCAGGCCATTTTTCAGTATTCAGCGCTTCGGTACTTTGACTGACATTTATTCTGTCATGCAACGCTGTACTGAAATTAATTTTATACCCTTTTTTAGGGACAGATAGAGCTTTCTTTTGGTGGTATTTAATCACCACTGGGGGTTTTATTTTTTACTATAGTAAGGAAAAATGAGTAAGGAAAAATTACAGAATAAAAAAAAAACTGTTTCCCCTATATTAAATTCTAAAACGTATTATTATCCAATTTTTTGGTAAAATATAAAAGACGGGGTCATGTCGGGTAAAAAGACACCAAACATGTCAAGCCTTAAAGTTGCGCATGCGCGAGAAACCTCAAAAGTAGAAAAAACCCACCAATGCGAGTCTGCCGACCGTCAGTTTTTTCTTAACGGGCGGACGGCAGGAGGTTAAACTCGCCGTACATGTTACAATCTGATTGTTTAATCTTCTCTAGATCTGCCAACAACTAAGTGCAAGGGCCTGCGTGATTGGATACAAATTGATTGGATATATTAGGCAGGTCCTTAAATTAAGCTGGCCATACACTATGCAAATTTTGATTTCTCGATCAGCATTGGTAAGCATTGATGGTGGAATGCAATACGATCGCCCGCACAGGAACACGTGGCACATCAATGCCTGCGTTCCGGTCTGGTCAGAAAAAATAGTGCTTGCAGCATTTTTTCTGGCCGGACTGCAGGCATTGATGTAACTTGCGGCCAGAGGCCCTCCCGCCCCACAACAAAGTGAGCCATCCGCAATGTGATCCAATGCGTTCCGGCCACAATCGTGCGCACTGTGGCTGGTGTGAACTAGCCCTGAGTCTTCTAGCACTGAACCTGCCTGTGTGACATAGTTGTCATCAAGACGCCGGCACCCCTTGGAAGATTTACCCTCACCCATTGGCTGAGAAGCACTGAGGATATCTGGTACCAGAAAAATGTACTGCGGGGGACAGCTCCAGATTGAACATGACCATTGACTGCGGTCTAACCATCTGGGAGACCATTTGAAAATATAGCCCAGAGTTGCCTTTAAAATAAAAATGGTAGGGGAAACAAAAAAGAAGTGCCACTTACCAGTTAGTGCAGGAGTGGGCAACTCCGGCCCTCCAGCTGTACTTTAACTACAAATCCCAACATTTCTCTGCCTCTGGGAGTCATGCCTGTAACTGTCAGTCTTGCAATGCCTCAATAGACTTGTAATTCAACAACAGCTGGAGGGCCAGAGTTGCCCACCTCTGAGCCAGCGGGTACCTTCACATGCCTGTGGACAACCTTGGTTCTCCTGTTGAGTATTCTAGGACCCCCAAAAGCCAGAGAGCTTGCTGATTACCCCACTACTTGGTAGGTAAGAAGCTGTTGTTGTTATTTACATTAGAATGTAAATAATAACCTGCATAGCTGGTGCTATTCTGCATTGCTGTATAATGATTATACAGCAATGCAGAATTGCACCAACTATGCAGGACTACAAGTCCCAGCAATACATTATATTATTAAGTAGGGACATACCAGTGCCAATACTGGGCATTTTCACGAGTACTCATGAAAATAGCCTGATACTACGCGCAGGCTAAATGACCAGGGTCGCGGCGATCAAAATTGCGACCGGGCCCTGGTGTTCGGCCAGTTGGGGGAGCCCAGAGAGAAAGAAGAGGGCCCGCCACACGCAACTGCCTCATGCTGCGCGCTGTGTTTTTGACACTTGCGGACCGCAGTTCAGACAGAGGGATGGTGAAGACGCTGTAGTGGGGAGGGGTGGCCAGTCAGGGAACTCCATTTGCATGCACTATTTTTTCTGACTGCACCAGAACGCAGGCATTGATTTGCCATGCGTTCCGGTGGAGGCAATCGCACTGCGGCCAGAGGGCGTACCTGCGGTGCCATTGACTTTATTGCATTGCTACGCCCCCTCCCACCCCAGAACGCAGTGAGCTGGCCGGGGATGCGATCCAGTGTGTTCCAGCCCCAAATCGGGCCGGAACGCACTGGAGCTGGTGTGAACTAGCCCTGAAAGTCATAACATACATACTGTTTATTTAATAGAAAAAAAGGTATCAAAATCATGTTTTTTTGGGGGGCCTTAATGGTTTCTTGCACCGGGGCCCTGAGGTTTCTAGTTAAGCCTCTGCATAACCCCCTCTAATAAATTGGCTGCAGCCATTGGTGATCGTAGGTGGGAGGAATAAGGAACAACTCCTACCATAAGGAAGGACAGTTTCAGCACCAATTCAGATGATATGAAGATCTACAACTGAGTGATAAACAAATTAGATATGTTTTTATTAATAATTAAGGTACTTGAATGCATTTTAAAGATTTAACTCCTGAGTTTAGTGTCACTTTAACTTTAATATCACTTTATTAGATGTAATATAAAGGAGAACTATGGGGTTAAGGCTTTTCCCCATAGTTCTCCTTAGGGTAACGGGAGGACACAAACTAGCGTCCTCCCGTCACCCTAGGCTCAGTATACCGCGAGCTGTAGTTCGCGGTATACTGAGACGCCGAAGTGGATCCCGACAATTATGCCGGGATCCACCCAGCTGCGTGACTGACAGCTGGCTCTGCCTATCTAGAGGCAGAGCCAGCTGTACCCTCCCCCGTCCGTTCCGCCAGTCAGCGCTGGCGGGGAGGGGGGAATCCAGCCCCTCCCGTGTCATGGCAGAGAGCCGTGACAGGATCGAGAGGTGAGCGAACGCCGGTATGTGTTTGCTTTCATCCCGATCTACTGAGCCGACCTGTGACAGTCTCATTGTCACAGGTCGGCTAGAACTATGAGGTGAGTGAAAAGCACTCACCTCATAGTTCTCCTTTAAGGAATCTTTGTTTTGTTTTTTTAAATTGCCCTATATCTATGGATGCAGAGTGTTCATGCCTATTTCACTAAAGGATTTCTATCCTGTAAGTTAAGTTGCTCATCTAAATGCATGTTTACAAGGGCTTGCAGGAACTGTGAAGGGTGTTAAATACAATGACTTGTGTCTGTTAGATGTCTTCAATCTAAAAATGACTGTGCATTTCAGAATATGAAACTTCAAATACGGACAAAATGTAAATGTATTTTAAATGGCAAACGTTTTCAATAATTTACAAGCTGACCTTAATATATTTTCCTTTCTTGAAATATTCCCTGACCTATATTTAAGTTCTCAGATTCTCAAACAGAGCACAATGTTTGTTTTGTAAACAGCTGTCTAGTTGGGCAGATTGCCAGATGCTAGCAGGGGAGTGGATTGCCTTGGTTTTGGAGCACATACACAGCTTAATAGCAGACACAAGGGTGGCTCTGTAGGACCCTGTAAGGGAAAAGAGCCTAAAACAAGATATCATAGCCAGTGCTTAGCGGACCAGCTGATTCTGCAGGAAACTAAGACTTTGAAAACATCAATGAGCAGCAGATGTAATCAGCATTTGAAATAGCTTAAAAACCTCTTGGCTTTAATATCATTTTCAACTCTAAAGATATTCAATCAATACTATAAATGATAGGGATGCACCAAAATTTCAGCGGTTGAAACATTTGGCTGAAAATGGTACTATGGGAAAAATGCAGATAGTACCAAAACGGCCGAAAATGCGATGCATCCCTAGCTGCTCTCCTCCCTGATGGGTGCCAGTCTATGTCCTCTGTGATCCTCACTGCTCTCCCCCACCTGTGTCGGCAGGGGGGATCAGAGGGGGACACAGAGCCGATCCAGCTGCCGGCGCCCAACATAGAGGAGAGAGGTTGTCAGGAGGCCGAGTGGGGTGGTACGGAGACAGCTGTCAGCTGTCACAGGAGGCCAAGCTCTCCTCCCTCACTGCCCCGCTCGGCCTCCTGTGACAGGCAGAGCAGTCAGGATGGAGAGTACAAACAATCAGCAATCAGTACTGATCGCTCAGTGTTTGTAGGACATAATAGGCTTATTGCATCCCCAGTTATGAATGAACAGGCAATGCCCTACATCACTTCCTGTTCATTTATGATTGTGGACATAGTAACT